TCATCAAAAGTTTGGTCCCAATGAGATGCATTTAGGGAAAAGCTTGAGGTTACATTTAGAGAGGTACTGCATTTAGGGGAGTTTCGTTTAGGGAGGTCTGGCTGTATAATGCATTTGGGTTAAAATTGTGATTAAGTTTTATGCCGCAATAAAAAAACATATTTTATCATAACCCAAAACATTTTTTGTAATTATGGGAAACAATTTTTTCGGGTCCTGTCCCGGGTCACAAATTACAGTATAAATCAGATCTCGATTAAGTATTACAGGGATTATCAATAATAACCAGGAAACATAGACATTGATTTTTTTAAATCTATATGTTAATTCGTTTAAACTTGCTAACTCAAATTAGTTTCACTTATTCGACTAATAACTGTACAGTATAGCACAAATTGAATGTTTATTTTTATGTGATTTGTACTACATTTAACTGAATTATTTTAATAAATTAAGTCCCAAAAACTAAAATAAGCTTCCCGGGCTAAATAAGCATGCAGGAGTTACGTACTGTTTTAACCTTAATCATTAGGGGCATCCATAACAGATAATTTACGTACTTACGTACGTACGTTAAACTAGCGCTAGCACTGAATTGTATAATGCCATATGGTATTAATTTATTATCTTTAAGATCCCATAATACTGCTGGTTTAGCATAAAATATTAAAGCTAATACATAGTGTAACCTCTCTTTCAACTCCAAGTAAATATATCTTTTAATACTTCCTATTCAAATACTTATAATGATCGTGAAACACATTTTGAGCTGTTCACTGATCCTATTAATTTCTATAGTCTATGAATCCGTCGCGGTTAATATCAATAAAGATCTCGTAATTCATTCTGTGAAACCGATTGAAAATAAAACATGGGAAAATTGGAATGGAGAAATTCATATTTCGCCAAATGCCATTTTTGAACCATCTACACTTGAAGACCTTATAGACATAGTAAAATTAGCAAAGATAAATAATAAAACAATTCGATGTGCTGCTCAAGGACATACTGAAAGTTCTCTGTCGGTCACAGAGCACTATCTAGTAGTAGTCACAAATTTAAATAAGATCAAAGTGCAAAAACATCCAAAATATGGCTGGACTGTTACTGCTGAAGCTGGTAAATTTTATACATACATACAGAGTTATTTATGATAAAGATGACATATTATAATAAATTATTAAATAATTAAAAATAGGTACATCATTATCTGACCTTGATGAAACACTTCGAAATCATGACCCACCATTAACTCTTGATTCTGAGC